GCCCCCGCTGCCCGACTCTCGGCGCTCGCAGCCTCGCTCAGCCGCTCCTGGTGTGGCGCTCCGGCGTACGGTGCGTGTCGGCGCGAGCCCGCCCGTGCACGGCGTGTTGTGGGTGGCGCCCTCTTCTCGGGCTCCCAGCCGCAGCTTTTGAGACGTTGGTCATTCACCAAGCTGCAGGTGCTTAGCGCTTTTTCAGGGCTTCCGTTATTTATTTATTTTTTGTCGGTACCGGGGATTGAACTCAGGACCTTGTGCTTGCCAGCCCCGCCCCAACCTCAGGTACCCCTCCTGCCCTGAGGGGCAGAGGTGCAGTCCGGGGAGGCATTTGCAGCCCGCTGCCCGCAGCTGGGCTTGCAGGATGAATCTAAGCAGCTTTGGAGCCAGGTCTCTTCCCCAGCAAGGCTGAGGTTTGGCAGGACGACCTGCTACTGTTGTGCTAACCTCTAATTACAGATTTCACTGGGCAAGAGCAGTTACAAATTGTTACTCTTCTTTGCTACACCTTTGTTTTTAAGTCTTACTTCGAACTCTGCAGTATATTTTTCATACTCAAATAGGAGAAATGGGGGGTGGTAGTGGGCATCCAACCCAGAGGTGCTCTACCAACCCCGTCTGCCTATTTTTGTTTTTTAAATTTTGAGACAGGCTCTCATTGTGGTTCAAATCCTCTTGCTTCAGCGTCTTTGAATGCTGGGATTACAGGCGCCTGCCTTTGGCACTCAGCTAAAACTTTTTTTTAATTACGCAGTTGTAAATGACTATGTTTAAAATGTATCCTCTCATCTTAGTGTTGCAGCTAATTCTAGTGGGTTTGTTGTCTTGGATTTCAACTTTTCTTAAGTACTTAGCACTAGGTTGCACTGACCCAGAGAGTGGAAGAGGGAACCACAGTTCCCCTAGAGGATTTGCTTCCAAGGAATCAGTAAAATGCGCTTCTCAGTTCTTGCTTTTGTTTAGTAGTGGAGATACAGATGCGCAGATGAAAGTGCTGGTGCGTCTGGTGGGACTTCTGTCACCTTTTCGAGAGTTTTTTTTTTTCCGTTGAGCATCTGAAATGTAAGTCATAAACCAGATTCAAATATTGTGAAACCGTTCTGTTAGCTCAGCCAGCATCTGGGGAACCTGACAATCCTGGGAACTGGGGAGGAAGTGCGCTTCTAGAAGGGAGGCAGGCCAACCCGGACCTCGGTGGGTGGGAGAGAGGCGCACTGCTGAGTGAGGCTAGCTGTCCGCGGGTCAGGGCAGGAAGCCCCGGCTGGCCTGCGCCCCACTTGAGATCTGGCTGGAAGTAAAGCTGGCAGCCCAGAGAGGAGGGGAGGGGCTGGGGCTGCCGAGGCAGGGGATGCTCAACTGAGCACCGGCTGCGTGAAGCAGAGCCACCTGGGACTTGGTAGAAATGCGCTGTCAGCCACCCTGGCGGCCTGCGGGGCCTAGAGTCCTGTGCGCACAGCCCGAGCTGGAGGCCACTCTTCTTAGGGATCATAGCACTGCAAGGTGCAGGCACAGAGGCGGCCCCAGGAGAGGGGACATGGGGGTGGGCTCCTTGTGATGTCCTCCACACTGCGGCCTGTGTTGTCAGGGACTCCTCTGTGAGGGAGGCCTTTGCCACCTGCTACTCCTGGTTCCCTGGGGACTGGGAGGTCTTCCCTCAAGGGTGGCAGCCCTGTGATTGGCTCTGCTTCCGTTGGTCTCCCTGTGTGGTTGCAGCTCAGATAGGGGGTGCCCTTCGCTGTGTTTGCAGTGTGGTGTGGATCCCCATGGACCTGTGCTGGGGCCCTTGGGTGCCTCTCCCAACCCCCTTGACGTGGCATCCCGCTCACCTTCCCAGCTGCATCCTCCCTGTTCCTACACCAGGGTGTTTGCTGCCAGGCATTTGCTCTGGTGGGGCTTCTGAGGTAGAAGAGGGCTGTGCCACCTGCACCCACCACCTGCCAGCTGGCTTGAGCGGAGGGAAGGGTGGTCCTGGGCAGCCCCTCCCAGCGCTGCACACAACCTGGAGGACCCATTGCCCTCAGACTTAGGTTGAACTTCCTCTAGCTCTTCACTGACTTCAAGTTTGTTTGTTTGTTTGTTTGTTTGCTTCAAGTTTTTGAAAATGATTGTTTTTCATCTTAAGAAGGTGGCTTAAAAAACAAAAGATCCACTGTTAGGTGAGCCAAAGGTCATGCAAACATCTATGTGGACCTGGCCGAGGCTTGTCACTTCCAAGTGCTTCCCCAACAAAACCTGCTGTGTTCCTGAAAATAAATCATTAGGCGCGGGTGCCATGGCTCCTCCGGCTATGGGCGCAGCCCCTGCCCTCATCAGCCCTGCACAGGGGGTGTCTGGGGCAGGAAGGGCCCGGTCCGAGTGTGCATGTCTGGGGATTCCCTTGAGGTCTGTCCTCTGCTTTGGGCCACCCTGAGAGCAAAGCACAGGGCAGATGAGTGAAGGTCTAGTCTTGGGGCCAGGAGAGGTGGCTGGGGAAGCCCAGGGGACCTGGAGTACTTTTAGAGTCACCCAGCAGGGGGCACTGTGGGTGGTGCTGCCTGAGGCCAAGTGAGATGGGGTCTGTCAGGCTCACACAACCGAGGGACACGTTGGAGCCTCAGTCCAGGTGCGGGTGACGCCAAACCCCAGGGGCTCAGCTGTGCCCCTGTAGAGGGCGGCTGGGGCATGTGTGGCAGGTGCTGGACAGGATATGGGCACAGGCTGTGTTCCCGTGGGCAGGGGACAGGGCAGCCTGTGACGCTGCCTGCCGATGACCGCAGGCTGTGTGCCACCTGGCACCTCTGCCCTGCGTCTGATCCCCTTGTCTGCTGGGCTGGGGCATTCTGTGTGAGAGAGACCATGAGGTGTTCCCCGGGGTCGTTATCCATTGGAAGGCTGGAGAAACTCCCGAGGGAGGGCGCAGCCAGGTGAGGTCTGCATGTGACCACAAAGCTGTGGGGTGTGCACCTGCCCCTGGAGGAGGCAGGAGAGTGGGAATGTCAGCGCAGGCCCTGCTGCCACAACCAGAGCGGGAGGCCTCTAGGCGGCCCTACCCCAGGGCACTGCCGCGGCGTGTGAGGTGCTGGCATGGGCTTCCAGCCCACAGGGCTTGGGCCCTGAGGACCTGGCGTGCCTACTCAGGGGGCAGGGCTGGGTCACGCCCACGCGCTTGCTTTTTTTTTTTTTTTAATGTATTTGGTACAGGGTCTCACTACGCAGCTCGGACTCGTAGTGATCCTCCTATTTTCAGCCTCCCCTGTGCTGGGATTAGAGGTGCGCACCACTGTGCCCGGATTCTGTGGCCAGCTCAGCACTCCTGGGGTGGGGCTGATATGGCATATGGTGCGAGGGAGGGATCCAACCCTGGTTCCTTCGCTTTCCTAAGCAGGCGCTTAGTCCACTGAGCTGTCTCGCCAGCACTCAGAAGCACTTTCTTGTCTGTCACCTGTTTGTTAGCCTCACCCTCAATGCAGTCTGCTGGAATATTTACATGGAGCTGAGAACTGGACCTCACACTTGCCTGGCAGGAGCTGTGCTGCGGAGCTATATCCCCAGCCCTGCCCCCTTGAGTGTTGAGGGCCACATAGATTTGACCCAGATGCTGGGAAGGCAGAGACCATGGGGAGGGCGGGGCATCGTGGCACAGGGTTGAGCCCCTGCTTCCATCTCCAGCACCAGAGAAGATGGAGCTGGGCATCTGGTGCCCACAGCACCCTGGGGGCCTGGCTGCACCTGTGCCCAATGTACATGTGGGCGTGAGGCTTTGATTTCTGCCCACGCATTCATGTTCCACACTTGTCCCTTGCATTTGGAGGTAATCCAGAAGACCTCTGCTCTCTAGGAAGGACCTGCACTTGGAGAGAAGGGTCTGTGGCCCAGAACGTGGGCCTGGAGCCCCTGCCACGGCCCTGCTGCAGGAGGCTGAAGAAGCCACAGCAGAGCTCAGTGCCTCAAACACAGCCCTCCTGTGTGTTCATGTAAAGCTCAGGAGTTGATTAATCTTACCTGTAATTGTTCCTAGGACCAGTTGATGCTTAGGCATAAATCAGGCCTCTGTGGACTTTTTTGTTAACACGTGACAAGAGATAGTGAAGGCTTAATTCTGCTAGATTTAGTAGCAGAGTTACTTGATAGCAAATCTGAAGTAAGTTTTAGTCTCCTATGTAAAGAAACTGAATTATTTCACAGATGTTTTTAAGTCTGTGGCGCTTGCATAGCTCACAGGAGCAGAAGCGGGCAGTGGGAAGTCCTCCGAGGTTTGGGTCCCTTTCCCCTGGAGCCGCCTGCAGGGCCTCCCAGCTGGCGCCCTCTGACCCCAGGTTCCTAGACGCCCACGAAGCTGGCGGGTCGCACTTGCTGAACTCATCCTCGCCTTTGTGTGGCAGCCTGGACAGGTGGAGAGGCTGGGTGGGGAGAGCGCTGCTGAATGAGACCCAAGCCCTGGAGCCCAGCCTTTTCAGCTTTGTGCATTTGGCTGGTGAAATGGGCGGCAGGGCCTTTGTGTAGCTGTGAATACCGTCCATCTGCCGGGCTCCGCCGGGGCTGCTGGCGCCTGCTCAGTGCCCGTGCGCCTGTGTAACTGAAGTTCTCCCTTCTGCCACAGCCGGTTTGCAGACACGAAGGCTCTGAGATGCCTGAGGTGCTGCAGCAGGTGGGGCCGAGCTGTCCCCTGGGCCATTGTGTCTGCAGGGGCACTGCGGGCCACAGATGAGCCAGGGAAGCTCTTCCTGCCCAGCTCTGTGGGCAGTGAACAAAGCAGAGAGGTCCGTCCTTGGGGCGAGGAGAGGTGCCCTGCAGAAATACCCTGGCTGGGCGGGAAGAATGGCGCTGGCTCGAAGCGGCCAGGCCGTGTGGCCTGGAAACCGTTGGCAGGAAGCCAGAGCACTGCCCGTGCGGGGCGGGCGTCTGCGTGCGGCATCTCTGGCTGCGCGTGGGTGAGAAGAGCCGCAGGCAGTCACGGGCCGGGCCAGGCCCCACAGTGCAGGCAGGCAGGCAGGCAGGCAGGCAGGCAGGTGGGCAGGCCGGCCTGTCCGACGTTGGCTCATGGCCTGGACCTGGCCGGTGTGAGTTCCAGAGAGGGTGCAGAACTGGCTCTGGCCTGTAGGTGGAATTGCAGTCTTCGGTGGTGGAGAGAGATTTGGGTGGAAACGCAGCAAGCGCGGGGCAGAGGGCCGGACGCCCTCACTGAGGTTCGCTGCCCAGGGCGCCTCCCACCCACCCAGCCTGGTTCCCCTCTCTTTTGCTTCCCCCTGAGGCCTGCTGTGGGGGAAATCAAGGTTCACACTCGGAAGTGGCCTACTGTGATCTCTCGTCCTGTTCCTGTCGTCCTAGGGTACCCCACCTTGCCCACTGCTGCCACAGAGCCAGGCTGGGGTCAGTGTGAGCTCATGGCCATGTCGGCGGAGACTCAGACGCTTGTGTCTAGTAGAGAGGCCGCCTTGCCAACCCCGGTGAGCCCTGTGGCTCGTCCGTGTCGGACTGGCCTTGTTCTGCCAGCAGTCAGCGGGACACCCCGATCGTCTTGCCCGTGTGGCCAGGCTCTGCCCACCCTTAGTGCTCTGGTAGTGAGACCTGGTGCTGCCCAGGGGACACCAGGTGAGGTGCATTCCCCCTGCCCTGGCTGCCGGCGTGCCGCAGCACTGGCTGCTCACCATCTGGACGAGAGTGTCACACCGGTGGAGAATCTGTGGGAAGCCCGTGTTGTGTCAGGGTTTATGAGTGAAAGGATTTACTACAGCCCACATAATTTATAGGGTTATTTTATAATAATCCTTAAGAGTCTCCCAAAGGAGTCAAATGGAAGAGTTTGGGAGATCTGTCCACACATCAGAGAGTCCAGCTGAGGCCTGGACCCCACAGCAATGTTCTGCGTGACTCCAGCAAAAGACCTAGAGCCCACGACAGTGTCC